TTAACAAAAGAGCCTGAGTGTAGAGACAGAAAAAAACTAAAAGGTATGAAGAACTGAATAAACTACTTTGTAAATTTCCAGTTCTCCGAAAGTTTTCTGGATTTTAGCAAAGCAGAAACATAGAGATGGTTAACCTTGTGAGGCTAGGGCCGTACATTAGATTGGGTCATCAGTCTCAGACACACTGAAGGAAGCTGAAACCTTCATGCCAGACCAGACCATCTAACGGAGAAGTATAATCTTGTTCAATATTTCCCAAGGAATGTCCAGTTCTTTAGATCATATGTATTCCATCTAATTATGTTCATTAATAAAAACTTGGACCTTAAGCTCCCAGAGGCACATTTTTCTCTGTATTCTATTCTGAGAATGTCTATCTTCACTTTTTGCTTTCTAATAAAGCTCTTTTGCTCTTTGCTAAAATCGGATGTGTTCTTTAAGTATTTTCTGTGCTGAGTGAAGAATCTGGAAGGTGCAAGAAATAATCTCATTTGCCTCTAAATAGACCACCTAGGATTCCCTTATGGTGACAGTCTTAGCTTGGTGACATGGAATTATAGCACGAGTACCCCATTTTGATTTGGTTTCTTGGGCCTGGTGCAGGAGCTCAGCCTAAACCAATAGCCTGTACATTTTATTTAACAACACTATTCCTCTTGTTTACTTTAGTGAAGGGTGGCTCCTCTAGCCTACTCAAAGATTTCCTTCCCACAGTTGCCATCATCTTCTGCATCAACATTTCTGTTACAAAAAAAAAAAAACAACAACAACAACAAAAAAACATTTCTGTTACTAGGCCACTTATAGTAATATATAAGAACCAGAAAAGCTTAATGTTTTCTTGCCCACTATAGTTCAATTTCCATGCTTCTCTTTACAAAATGCTGTCACCATCTAGTATCTCTACAATCAGACCTTTAATCCCATCACTCTATCTTAATTGCTCTACTTTCAAGATTTCAATGATTTCTATATTGCCAAATCCAAAGGTCATTTATCTTACCCAACTTCTCAGTAGCAAATGACACATTTAGGTAGTTACTTCCTGTTTGAAATATTCTTCATTTAGCCTTCCAGACTCCAGTTTTCCTGTTACCTCCCAATTTTCCTAAGTTTCCTTTGCTCCTAGTCTTATCTCAATAGTGCTACATGACTAGTCTTTGGATCTCTTGTTGCAGTTATGTAATTAATGTTCTAGGTCAGTGACTGTAAATGATTTTTAAACTGTAGGCCACAACTGTTACTAGTTTAAAAAGAACCAATTGAATTAGGATAAAAAAGTTTAAAGAAATAAGTAGAAGAGAAAGGGAATACTGCATCCCATACAGGAAGGGTAAATATGCTTCTGGAAACTTTTAGTTATAAACATCTATTTGATCAATATGTAAAATGTATTTCATATCCTGGTTTGAGGTCAAAGGTATTAAAGTTACTGCTCTGTGTGATCTCTTTCAATCCTATAGCTTTACATACCATTGGCACAATTTATACATTCTTCCTCCAAATTCCAATCTACTAGCCAGCTACCAACTGTTAATCTCCATTTGAATGTCCAAGTAACATGTCAAATTTAAATCAAATTATGGATCCTGTTCCCCTATCCCTAATAAAACATAACCCCTAAATTAAACATAATCATTTGCACAATTTGATTCTTTTGGTTGTATAGGCCCAAAACCTCAAACTTCACTTTGGTCTTTCATATCCACATCTAATCTGTAAATCCTACTGGCTCTACCTTTGAAAAGCATACTAAATACTAAGTGAAACAAGATTGTTGTCATCGTGGGAATTAAAAAACAAAGAAATAATAAACAGGATAAAAGTCATATATTCATGGATATTAATAAAAAATAAAAGGCAGTTAGACTTTGTTATGATTTAGATGTGTCCTCCAAAGGCTCATGTGTTAAAGATTTGATACCAGGGTGTTTCTACTGGGATGTAGTAGAAACTTCAAGAGGTGGAGCCTTGTGGGAAGTCTTTAGGTTTTTATAGGCATGTCCTTAAAGGGGATTGTATGACTTCAGCCCCTTCCTCTTCCTCCACCACTCTGCTTTTATGTGTAAGTAGGAGATTTTGCTCTGCCATATGTTCTCACTATGATGTATTACCTTTTCGGAAGACCAAAGCTCTCCCTTCACCTCATGTCCTGATCTTGTACTGGATCCTCCAGAACCATGAGCCAAAATAAGACTTTTATAAGTTCTCAGGTATAAGTTCTCTTGTTATAGTGATCGAAAGCTGACTATAGACTTGGAATCAGGAAAATTGAATTCAACATTGTCTGTACCACATCATAGCTTTTAAAATCATAGCAGGTTAGTATTCATCTCTTCATTTGTTTGCAAGTTCTCCATTATTTCTTACATTCATCATATCAGTTGGAACACTAATATATATATATTCACTGTTTTAGATAAAATGCCATTTGAGTTGTATACTTCCCAGTGTATCATGTCATACATAACTATACATTTTGTGGTTAACAATGAAACCATAACTAAAACTCTAGAACACAGTTTATATGTTTAACCATTTGGGTATAACTGATTCTCAGGGTATCACTGGCCACTTGGCTGAAGCCTGACTTTTTTTTTAGAATATCACCCCCATATCCCACAAATATTAGAAGAAGGCAATTTCTTTATGTGGTATAAGTTATGGAAGGACAATGTGTTAGGAGTCCCCAAGAGCACAAATAGAAAGGATTTGGAAACTTTGTACCTACTAATCTTTTCCTGAAAGGCTAGTATTCCCTTTTTTATGGACTGGGGATTGAATCCAGGGATACCTAACCACTGAGCAACATCTCCAGCCATTTTTAAATTTTTATTTTGAGACAGGGTCTCATTAAGTTGCTTGGGGCCTCACTATATTGCTGAGGCTAAGCTTTGAACTTGTGAGTCTCCTGCCTCAGCCTCCTGAGTCACTGGGATTACAGACATTTGCCACTACACCTGGCTAAGGCCAGTACTCCTCTTGTACTGAATAACTTGTTACCTAAGAGTAACTTTGTTACTGGAAGGCAGATTTATATTCAAAGCACAAAGGATTCTTCTCATTTTTTCTTTGTTTTCTTGTTGGCAATCTCTTCCTCAACTGTAGGCCAGGTGACAAGAATCTGGACCCAGGAGTTGGACACATTCAAACTGTTAGACTCCTTTCCCTCAGAACTCTGAATTTTTATACTACTACTTTCTTGCCAAAGACTGTATAGGTTACTATTTACTGAATGCTGTGTGTGTAGGGAATTTTATTTATTTGTTAATTAATTAATTCTGGTATTGGAGATTGAATCCAGAGGTACTCTCCACTGAGCTATATCCCCAGAACTTTATTCATTTAGTTCAGCTAAATTGGGTCTTGCTAAATTGCTGAGAGTCTAAGTTGCTGAGGCTGGCCTCAAACTTTCAACTTCCTGCCCCAACCTCCAGAGTCACTGAGATTACCACATGAGCCACTGGGTCTGGCTTCTTGGGCACTTTAGTGTTGTGCAGGCATTGTCTTATTTCACCTCAGAACCACTCTACCCAGCAGATATTTTTCTTTTGGATAAATGAAAAGAGGCTCAGAAAGTTGAAGTGAAATGCCTAGGTAGTAATGGTTAAGACAGGAATCACTCTAGCCTTGTCTGCATAAGTAATACTTCTCAGTCCTTCTGTAAGACTCACAGATGCCCCTGGAACTATGAAGGTTCTGCCACTTTTTACAGAAGGATGGCAGGATTCTACATCTAAAAATCAGTCAATTAAACCTTTTGTTCACCATCCATAGTTTAGGCATAAAGTTTACCAGTGGAAGAAACTAATCCTGCCTTCTTGGAACTCTAGGTGCCAGAAGAGTCCATAAGTTGTGACAGCTGGCCTTGATAACCTATTTTCCATAGTAAAAAGATGTGTATGAAAAAAATTCAACATTTCATTTTCTACTTTTGGTTTTATGGTGCATTCCAGTTGTGTTATAGAAATGATGGTTTGACTTTGTTATACTAATCTGGAGGATATTTTAAACCCACTCTTTTGACCCTAAGATTTTGCTCTATACATAGCCAAGTATGCAAAGTGATCAGAATTGTGGGGAGGAACTTGATAAGCCATTCAATAGATCACCCAAGACAAAACAAAACAAAACAAACAAAAACAAAACAAAACAAAAACAATTCTGGGATATTTGTGGGGATTTGCTTACAAAACAAACAAAAACAAAACAAAACAAAAACAATTCTGGGATATTTGTGGGGATTTGCTTACAAAACAAAGAAAAACAAAACAAAACAAAAACAATTCTGGGATATTTGTGGGGATTTGCTTACAAATCACGAATTTACTAAGAAATTATGCAAAGTCTTTCGTGCAATTTAAAACAAGGAGTAAAATTGGCAGTAGTCGAAACTTCTATGAAGTTTGATCTATGAAAACTGGAGTTTGTAGAAACAGTCACTAAAGGTACAGAGATGTATAATCAGGGAAGTTTAATGTGGGCAAAAGCTGAATCAAATATTTATTTAGATATTTCTATTTACACAAAGACTAATCCCCAAGAAACTGAAAATATAACAAGTTGGAGATCCATACACACCCCACCTTTCTCGGGCTGAAAGGGGTGAGCTGTGGGCATCAGCCTTCCACTGTAGATGAAGGAGTGAAAGGAGGCAAAAATCTGTTCGTTGAGGCAAACAAAACCATTGTCCTTATTTCCTGGCTCCCCCTTTCATTTGCTAGCTCTGGTAAGAAAGTTTCTCTTTCTTTCCACCAAGCACATCATGTTGACTGAACGAATTCTCTTCTTCCAAAATGCTAATAACAGATGCAGTCAGGCCCAGGGTCTCTAAAGGACGGAGCCAGGGCTGGGGTGGTCCTTCCTCTTTCTGTCCGGGTAGTTGCTCCAGGTGGAGGGTCAGCGGCGCCGTCGCTCCCCGCCCCACAGCGCCACAGTTGCCGAGGCAACGCCTCTCCCCTCCCACCCCGCCCATCGCCTCGGGCGGGCACGTGACGCACGCATCACGTGACGGGGCAGCCAGCGTCCTCCCACAGAGGTGCGTAAACAGGCGCCTGCGGCCGGGTCTCCCGCGAACTGCAGGCTGGCGGTGGGGGCGGCGCCTCAATCTCAGCGCCCACCTGAGGTGACCCCTGCGTCTTCCAGACCCGGGTCTCCCACGCGGTTCACAGTTACAGCCGCCTGCCACCAAGGAGGCGGCCCGCGTCCCAGGCCCGGGCAGGGGGTGTGGCCGTCTGACGCCGGTCTGCGACAGGTGGCGGTCAGAGTCGGCCCCTCACGCGCGCTTCTCTGTCCCAGGGTCGGGGGCCAGGCGCGCATCCCGTGGAGAGGCAGCGCGACCCTGGGCGGTTAGCCCTTCCGGCTCGGAACTCGGTTCTGCGCTTGAGGCCAGCCCGAGCTTGGGTTGCCAGGACGTGTGGCGTTGAGGGCCTGGAGTTGTCCTGCCCCTGACGAGCTGTGAGACTGTGGGTAAGTCAGCGCTCTTCTTCGGCCAGTTTCCACATGGTTGGGATGGTTAGACTTGACTAGTGCTCTGTAGGACCTTCCATGTCTGACGTGATTTCAAGAGAGAGCCGCTTATGGTGAAGCTGCCACAGGGAAAGCATTAGGTAGGTGTTTTTTTTTAAGTTGCTTTTCATTTCCCTTTAAATTTGGATCTTCGCCCTTGTAGATGAGATTTTAAATAGAAAACTTATTAGGGAGAGTCTTAAAGGCTTATGTTGTTATTTTCATATTTCTTTAATGCATCGGAACCTTTTTTTACAAAGAACCGTATTTGGAGGGGCCCCAAAATTGAAACTGGACTTTTTATACCTCGTTGTGGAAATATTTTGTGTGTCAATTTGATGCAATCAGAAGGTGAATTCTTTTTTTTTTTTGGTATCAGGGATTGAACCCAGGGGCATTTAACCAATGAGCCACATCCCCTGCCCTTTTTATTTTTTTTTTGAGACAGTGCCTCTCTAAGTTGCTTTGGGCATCGCTGAGTTATTGAGGCTGGCATCAAACTTGTGATCCTCCTGCCTTAGCCTCCTGAGCCACTGGGATTACAGGCATGGATCACCAGCCTGGTGGAAGGTGGAATTTTTGAATGTGTGGTTATTTTCTCTTGCTTTCATTTGTATGTGATGCAGTTAGACAATTGCTGAATCTGTTATATTACAGGAAAGGGGCCTCAGCATTTCCAGTAAATACCTTACTTTTCCCATCTTTTCTTACAATCCAGTCCTAGTGGGTTTTTTTTCATTCTAACAGTGAGATCTCATGCCTCATTGCTGACTTAATTGTTCAGGCACAGAATGGAGGTGGAGAGATTAGGACATATCCTGTGAAAAACATGCACCCTGAAAAAGTATATGAACTAAAATCAGAAGAGTTGTAGAATAATGTGAACATGCCCTTTTACTAATTTCTTTTGAGGCGAGGTCTCACCATATTGTCCAAGTTATCCTTGAACTCCTGGGTTCTAGGTTCTACTGCCTCAGCCTGATGGGACCACCAACAACTACCTTTTATTTAAATCTTGAAATCCCTAAGCATAACAACTTGGATTTTGAGAAAACTCAGTTTAGGAGAAAATAATACGCTAAATCATTATCAGGATTTCTTAAAATTAAGAGCAGTGCATAGTTTCCTAACTTTTTAAATTTTTTGATGTAGATGGACACAGTACTTTTATTTATTTTTATGTGGTGCTGAGGCTTGAACCAAGTGCTTCACACATGCTAGGCTTGTGCTATACCACTGCTACAACCCCAGCCCCCTAATTTGTTTTTATGTTTATATTTTTGGTTGTAAATTGTTTAAAATATCTGAAAGCATATAAAAATCATGCTAAAGTTTCTGAAAACAATATAAATTTGAGTCTTGAAATGACTTTTTAAAAAAAAAAAAACCCTTAAACTTTCCAGCTCTACCTGTTCTTCAGTTACGTGATTAACTTCAGCACATTTTCTAAAGCAGTACACTGTTCTGTTATAAATAATCTTTGAGGAAGTTCTTATGCCTTCTGATTCTACTCACTGTGAATATGTAAAACAATCAGTATAACATTTTATATTTTATCTGTTACCAATCTTGTTTTTGCTATACTCAGTTTCATTTAGGAGCTTGGTGATGTGAAAACACTCTTGTGCTTGTCTTCTGGTACACTCAGGCCACTGAGACAAGAGTCATATCTAGTCGGATGTCTAGCTTCTAGGTTGTAGGTTAATACATTTCTTCAATTTTTCTGCAAGTGTTGGTTATCTGTATTTTTGTTTTTCTGAGATGGGGTCCTGCTATCTTGTCCAGGCTTGCCCTGAACTCCTAGACTCAGAGAACCTTCTGGGGCTGGGGTGTAGCTTAGTGGTAGAGCACTTGCCTAGTGCTATAGGTTCAATCCCCAGTACTGCCCTCCGCCACCCAAAAAAAGTTCCCACTTCAGCCTCTGGAATAACTGGGACTACAGGTTACAGGTGTGCACTACTGTACTTTGCCTAACAAATTGCCCCAAATTCAGGGGCTTCTGACAACACAAATTCATAGTCTCATACTTCTAGAGGTCAGAAGTGTGGTAGACTTGTCTGGATTATCTGCTGTGGGTTTTATAAGACTGAGATCTAGTAGGTAGGACTGTATTCTTTTCTAGAAACTCTTGAGATGAATCTACTCCCAAGCTTATTTATAGTTCAGTTCTCTGGTTGTAGGACTGAGGTCTATTTCCTCACTGGATGTTAACTGGTGGTTATTCTCAGCTTCTAGAGGCCACTCATATTCCTTGCCCTGTGGCCTCTTTCATTAGTTTATCTTCGGAGCCAGCAATTGGTTGTTTGCGTCTCATGCTTTGAATGTCTTAACCCTCTTTTTTCTTTTCTATTTTTGTGTGCTGGAGTTAAAACCCAGGGTCTCACACATGCTAAACATGCACTCTACCACTGAGCTATTAGATTGCCCATCCTACCTCATCTCTTTCTCCTCCCCTAGCTGAAGATAATTGTCTGCTGTTAACAGGGCTTATTGATATTATTGGTATTATTCAGAGGGCAACTTGGTATTATTCTGTGATTAGCTTGTGCCCACCTGGATGATATAGTTTACTATTTGTATTTTATCTGTATAGTCACTTCACAGTTGTACCCAGGTTAACGTTTGATTGAATAATCAGGCTAGGAATCTTCGGGAATAGCTTTAGATTTCTATCTGTTGCACTATTTAAATTTTTCATAGTGATTTTGCTAATATGAATTTTTATCAATAGTATGTTAGTTCTTGTTCCATGTCATTGCTAGCACTTAATGTTGTCAGATATTTAAGTTTTTATTAACTGGTGGCTGTGAAGTACTATCTGATGGTGGTTTTTTTTGGTGTTGGAGATTGAACCTAGGGTCTTAAGCATGCTAAGCTTGTGCTCTACTACTGGACTATATCTCCATCCCCTCATGGTGTGTATTTGATTTTGGTACTGTGAATTGAACTCCATGGTGTTTTATCACTGGGCTCCAGCCCCAGCCCTTTAATTTTTTATTTTGATTTCGGGTTTCCCTAAGTTGCTGAGGGTTTCACTAAGTTTCTGAGGTTGGCCTCATGTTTGCAATCCTCCTGCCTCCTCCTTTTCCTGCCCAGTAGCTGGGATGACAGGTGTCCACCAGTGTTCCTGATTTACATGGCATCTTGTTATATAACTTGGTATTATTCTGAGGGCAAGAGTTAGGAAGCCTGAGTTTCTTCTCCAACTTTCCTGAGTAACAGCTTAACCTCCATCAGAGAGTCTTTTCTCTGCCTTAGTTACTCATTTATAAAAGTGAGATGGGGTGTGAACTGTTGGTAACTAATATTCCTTTTTATTCTTCTGTTTTTTGCCTTCCATTGAGTCTTAATTGTATAATACCTTAAAGAGCTAACTATAACACAGTTGATGAGGAGAATACATTTTAAAACCTGGAGAATGAAAAGGCTTGGATTAGGGAGTGAGGGCAGGGTAATTTGAGAAAAACTTTAAGGGCTGGTACATCTAGAATAATAAGACTTGTTTCACGTGATTTAAACTAAAACCTGTGGTTTAAAGACATGCACTTTTTTTTTATGTACCAGGGATTGAACCCAGGGACCTTAACCCCTGAGCAACATCCCCAGCCCCTTTTTAATATTTTATTTATAGAGAGGGTCTCACTGAGTTGCTTAGGACCTCATTAAATTGCTGAGGCTGGCTTTGATCTTCCTGCTTCAGCCTCCTGAGCTTCTGGGAAGGCATGCACTCTCCCTTTTGTTTAGTATTTTTTTTTTTTTAGTGGTGGATAGATTTTTATTTGATTTGATTTATTTATAGGTGGTGCTGATGATTGAACCCAATGTTTCACATGTTTTTATTAACTGGTGGCTGTGAAGTAGTATCTGATGGTGTTTTTTTTTGGTGCTGGAGATTGAACCTAGGGCCTTAAGCATGCTAAGCTTATGTTCTCCTACTGGAGTATACCCCCATCCTCTCATGTTGTGTGTTTGGTTTTGGTACTGTGAATTGAACCCATGGTGTTTTATCACTGGGCTCCATCTCCAGCCCTTTTTATTTTTTATTTTGATTCCGGGTCTCCCTAAGTTGCTGAGGGTTTCACTAAGTTTCTGAGGCTGGCCTCATGTTTGCAATCTTCCTGCCTCCTCCTCCTGCCCAGTAGCTGGGATGACAGGTGTGCACCAGTGTTCCTGATTTACATGGCATCTTGTTATCCAACTGGTATTATTCTGAGGGCAAGAGTTAGGCAAGCACTGTGCCACTGAGCCACAACCTCAGCCCCACACATGCACTCTTGATTCAGCATAATAGATGAATTTTTAATGGTTATTCCTGTCCAGTGTTAAAATGGACCTTAAGTGGTGGGTATTCTCTTATACTGAAATGACAAAGGTCAAGATCAAACAGGTAAATGAGACTTTAGAGACAGGTTAAAGTTGTTGCAGTCACATCTAGGGATGGCACTGGATGACTTCTCCAACCTTCTGGCCTCCCATGGGCAGGAATCATGCATGACAAAGTTGTTAAAATAATGGAGAAAAACTTATTTTTTAAAATTATTTTTTTGTAGTTGTAGACGGACAGAATGTCTTTATTTTATTTGTTTTTAAATTTTATTATTATTTTTTAATTTGGTGCTGAGGATCGAACCCACTGCCCCACACATGCTAGGCAAGTGCTCTGCCACTGAGCTACAGCCCCCAGCCTGAGAAAAACTTATTTTGGTGTGACCTGGTGGTTCTCTTTTAAACTAAATTATAGTAGTGATGACTCTTACATTAAATTCTCTTTTTATCTGAAATTTATATATTTATTTTGGCTTTAGTCAAAATAAATTTTGAAATAATTTTGAAAATGTTGCTTAAATCTTGTGTAGTATTTGATGATTCATCTAGGAAAGCAGCACAATTATTCTTTTTGAGTGATCTTTGAGAGCTTACCACTTTTCTCATAAGTTGCGTGATACACTCTGGGTTTGAAT